CCCAGGCTAACCATTCTTGTGTAAACTAACTCTTATGATTGGAGTGGGTGGGGGAACCTGATGAATCTATGTTCCAGCAATCATTTTACAAGGATTGTTACCCAAGCTGAGAACTTAAGAACTTTTTCCATTTTTTGACAGTATGGATTCCCTCTCAATCTTTTGCAAATGAGTATTCATGGGATGAATTCTCTGAACAATTAGAAACAAGCAACAAATAAGACAGTAACATTTTATGTGCTTAGTGTAACATCTGAGCAGGAGTGCTTGCCGGTTGCCTTGTGCACAGAGGGAGGACAAAGCAGAGATTGTTCCTTTGCAAGGAAAAGTCATTATGCTCAGTCCAACGATGTCAACTGCTTTAGAAGTTAGGCATTTCACCCACCAACATTGCAATGACACAGATGCTACCAATACTCACTCTGCTTATGAAGAGGGAGGTCATGCCATGCTGAAAAGGGCCAGGGACAGAGAAGAGGAAGCCTTAAAATTGCATAGGAATGCAAAGAAAAAGCTAGACTCACTATGAAAGTTTTATGAAGCAAGAGATAAAGGAGAAAGCATGGGCATTATGAGGAAGAGTCCAGAGTTGTCTATAAATCTATTTCCTAACAAGCATTATAGAACACAAGTGGGGGACCCACAAGGTTTTCCTGGGTACCTTCACTTCCACCGTCTCCACTTCTTTCCTTTTACTGATAGCTCCCATAGCCTTTCCTCTTTTCCTGCTTTTTTCTCTCCTTTCCACCCTCCAGCCAACCTACTTTTATCTGCCCCCCCCCAATCTTCAGCTTTCCCTCCTTCCCTCTCTCGCAGACTGTCCCTGGAAAAAATGAATGTAGGGCCAGCTGCTGGGTTTGGGCAGGCACAGTTGCACAGTGCCAGCCATCAGGCCAGACCCAACTGTGCAGTAGGGAACATGCAAGAACATGTGGGGGCCATCTCATTTTCCACTGTATTTTTCTCTCCCCACACTATTTCCGCTTTCCCTTCTCCTGGCAGGCCCCATATACACACCTTTCCATGCATCCTTTTCCTCTTTCCACCTACTAACCAACCTGGCCCCCATCTTCAGCAATAGTATTTAACTTATATCTCACCATTCTCCAAAATGGAGAGCCAAAGAAACTTACATTGTTCTCCTCTGCTCCATTTTATCCTCACAAAAACCCTGTGAGGTAAACAAGGCAGAGTATGTGTGATTTAGCCAAAGATCACTCAAGGAGGCTCCATGGCAGAGTGAACACTGTTGTGGCTGCCTAGCAATGGCCACTGAGGGCATTCATTAAAACTCCTTCCATTAAAACTACAGGTGCTCCTGCGCCTGCTTCAGTGAGGAGGATGGCGTATAAATTTGATAAATAAATAAAAAATAAATTATTTGGGAGGTTTTAGCCCCTAATGTATGATTAGTTTTAGAGGTCAGATTTTTCTGCAAAACTGGGGCTTCTCTCAAGTTTGTAGGAAGATCTGTCTTGCCTGTTCATGGCCCCAAGCTCTGAATTTCAGTATCCACAGATGAGACCATGTTAAGAATTAGATACATTGATTAGATACATACATGTATAGAAAGAAACATGCTATAGATTTTGTAAAAAGAAAAACACTTTATCCCAGCCAATCAGCTGGCGGTGACTGTTACTGGCATCTTGCTGACCACTAGCCAGATTATGGTCACACAGCTGCAACTGGGTAGTCCTCCTCTGGATAGTCTTGGATACTCCAGGCTCCAACGAACCTTTTGAGTTTTCTTCTAGGTATGATTGCAAAATCTAAACTATTAGGATTTCACAATCAAACCAGAGTCCCTGTCCTTCAGACTGGATTAAATTCCATTCCAAAAGGACCTCCTATGACCAGTCTGCCACACAGACAGAGATTCAGTTTTGGCGTCAAGTTCAGTAAGTGACAGAACTGCTTTTGAAAGCCCAGAAAGCTGTACTTCTGGGTGCTGTTTTGAAACTTTATATTGCCAGGATTAATTTTTTTGTCTTCCAGAAAAATGGATCAAGGGATGGACTGTTAACTCCTGGGGGAGTCAAGTCTGAAGAACTCCTATCAAAATGTGCTCCAGTAAGATAACCCCAGAAGCAGAGATTGGAGACTGACAGAACCCTGCACAAGATGGAACCATGGGAATCTGCTGATTCCTTATTTCTTCTATTCATTATATCATGAACCAGCATTCTAGCTGCAGCTGCCATGGCTAAGATGTCTGTTAACAGTAGTTTTCATGTGTTACCAGTGACACATACAGAGCTTAAACTACTCAACAATACCAAGACTACCTTAATTCTATACCATTGACCATTTCTTATAACTTTGATAACTCTAGAAAGGATAGAATCAACCTCAAGGATCTGAAGGAATCCATGCAGAATGGTACAGATCTAGAAAGCACAGTATTTCATGCAAATGTGGAGGGCTAGAGAAGATTAATTAGCAACAAGTTTTAGTGGTTCCACTCCTGAAACACAGCTTACAATTTCTGTAGTACTAAAGCCTTTTCTTCAGGGCATACACTGGTCCTAGGATGTACCTTTAAGCATACAAGCAGCGACTCTGCTGAAACTAAGCAGATCTAGATTTGATCAGTGCCTAGTTGGGATTTCAAGTATGCCAACTGGACTTCCATAATGGAAGAAAGGTATCATTTAGTTAATAAAATCATTAAATAATGTTTTAATCAAACACAAAGGCTTGCTTTTAAACAAATTTATTTTGCTTTTAAACAAATTTAGAAGCTACATTCTGTGACTGATCCATGTGTCACTGCTGAGAGGATTAAGGAACTGGATTATCTATCCAGAGTCTGCGAACAGGTTTGTTTCAATTCAGATACAATTAAAATACCATATCCCAACATCTTAATTCCTTTATAGAGACTTTTTGGCCCCCTTACCACTGCAAAGCATCCACAGAAACACTGACGACAATAACAAAGTCAAATTTAGTATTGCTAGACTTTGTACATCTTTTTACCTTGGCAGCATCTCCCTTATATATAAAAGCCGAATGGTGGTGGCACTTCTCTAGAACATTCCACACGCTCCGGAATTGGTTGGCGCCCTAGTGTGTCACTCAGAAGCTCCCTCCCCCCCATAGCCAGTCAGGTTATTTGCATATGCAGCCTCATTGGTCTTTGCCTCAGAACACAAAGGTCATTTGCATATGCGACTTGATTGGCTTTTGCCTCTAACATTCTAAACACTTTGCTGTTCTGAGGTAAAATCTGTCCAGTCTCCAGGTGAGGGCTGGAGATCACTCAGAATTACAACTGCTTTCCAGATGGCAGAGATCAGTTCCCCTGGAGAAAATGGTGGGCTCTGTATCCTTATATGCTGCTGAGGTGGCCCCCATATGTGGCCCCCAATGTGACGTAGCAGTCAGGGCTTCAGAGCATGGGAGAGGCTGCATGTGTGTGGGGGTGGAAATGGAAGAGTGAGGGGGAAATAAAGGTAGGTTGATGATTGGCTGGGAAAGAGATAGGGTTGCCAACTCCAGGTGGGAAATTCCTGGAGATGTGAGGGATGGAGCCTGGAGAGGGTGAGGTTTCAGGAGGCGTGGGACTTCGGACACGTACAAAGCCATAGACTCCACCCTCCAAACCAACCATTCCCTCCTGGGTAACAATCGTTGCCAATCTCCAGGTGAGGGCTGGAGATCACTCAAAATTACAACTGTTCTTTAGGTAGCAGAGATCAGTTCCTCCGAGAAAATGGTGGACTCAGTGTCATTATACCCTGCTGAGGTTGCCACAGCAAATTGACACTGAGTGTCCAAGGCTGGAGCACCCGCCCAGAGCCTCTTTCTAGAGGCCGTTGTATTTATTTCCACAACGGGCTTTTTTCCTATTAGTATATAAATTATATATACCCATATGAGATTCATACACATACATAGTACAGCGACCATTGTAACTAAACTTTTTCAAGAGTCATGACAGTAAGGACAGAACATAAATATTATAATGAGATATTTGGAAACCAAGTTGCAAACCTCAACCTATCCTATTTCTTCATTATGTAACAAAACAAATCTTTTTCGTTTGAAAGGTTCTGATAGAGGCTTTCTATTTTGTTTTTAATTTAAATTGTTCCAACTGTAGTAAAGCTGGGTCTTAAATATGAAGTGTTCTAAAGCTGTTGGTAATGAGATCAATTTTTAGCAAACACAGTTAAAATTTAAACTATATTTCACCCTCACTGTGAAAGAGCTTGAAGGAAGAAGATATTTCTCAAACTTGTACTTTTAAGTCCCAGTGTTAAGACTTATGGGCATACTGTGTCATTTCAACTTCAGTTGCAAGAAACTGAAGCACGGAAAATATACCTAAGGCTAATCTATCTCTCTAGGCAGGTTTCTCGATTATTATGTTTATTTCATTTACATTCTGCCTGTCTTTCTTCAAGGTGGTGTACACAATGGTTCCCAAGTGGTCTCACATTCAGACAAGTCACCACACCTGAATGTGTTCAGCTTTTCCAAGGCTGTTGCATCTTCAAACACCACCAAGGGAGACACACACAGTTGTAATGCCTGGGAAAGCCAGTTCTTTTCTCTGCTCCTTCACCATATTGCACCAGACTTGTGAGGCTGAAAATCCATTTCTTTTAATTATTCAAATTAACTTTAAGGAACAAGTTATGCACATGCCCTAGCTACTTAAGGCAGTCTTCTGAAAAGATAAGGGAGGCACATTACAGGAAGGACAATTTTAGAATTACACAAGTAATCCCCCAAAAGGTTTAATTTATGGCTTTGAAAAGAAGCAGGACAGATTAAGCCTATTTTTTCCCATTTGGAGTATTAAAATAAATTCAGTCCCCCACATGAGAAACCAAATAAGGTACCTAAAAAAGATTAATGATGCCTTCTGGACTCTAACATATGACCTAAATTAGAAAAAGCAAATAAAGGGAGCCTACACACACATACACACACACAAGTATGCAGACTACATAGTTAAACTACGTAGCTTGTTCAATTTGCAAACTTACCTCCTCCATACATTACTGCCAGCATAATGGAAGAGATCCAGGAAACTTTGCTGCTAGATGCATCAAAGATTTGTTCTATCTCTTTGAAGAATACTGTGATGGACTTTGGAAACGCATAGGAAAAGCCAATTGAGATAAAGGCACCGACAACTACAGCCCAGCCCCATCCTCCTTCTGGTGGTGTGTATCCCACAGGGCCTCCAATTGCTGGTGGCATCTTGATCCAAAGGGTGACAATTCAGTTAGAAATCAAAGATCTGCAAAGAAAATAGAGCAAGATTATTACAGTTGCAGAATCTCCTTGGTTGTTTTCAGGTATCTGGAAATAAACTAAGTGCTGCATGCAGACACTTCCCTCTACTTCTACCCAACATTTGTAGTTTGAGTCCCAGTGTTATTTGGCTATCATCCAATTGATATACCAATTTTTAGTGATCAGCAGTTGATGGTACCTAGGTTCATGGATACTTATGCCAGTCCATATTGAAAACTATGAGTTTCACGTGCACTTAGCTTTAAAGAAATGTGATGTTAAAACTTAAATTCAACAGCTGAAGACTGTGTGATCCTGACCACAATTAAAGATCAGCAGCTAGAGGCTGATTTCTGCTTTGCATCCACTACTCTCACACATACACAGTGACTCCAACATCAAGACAGCCAATAGCTGGAAGAAAAACCCCTTCCCCCATAAGATCACAGTCACTCTGTAGACAGTTCTTGTTCTCTTAAATTTTAATAGCCATGTTATCCATTAATATTGAAGTAGAGAAAGGCATGAATCCATACAACATATAGCTTTTTAAAAAAGAGACAGACAATATCCCAGTATTTTAGAAATAGTCCATAACTTTTTTCAGTAATTTTGCATTGTGCGCATGTGTGCCAGTGCCTGGAAGCCATGGTGGCCTCTGGCAACTCCTACTGGGGCATTGAGGACATTCAAAGAAGTGGCTTGATAGCCTGCCTCTGCCTCCTGACCCTGGTATTCTTTGGAGGTCTCACATCCAGGGGTCTTTTTGTAGAAAAAGAGCTGCCGGAGCTCATTAGCATAACTCATTAGCATATGCCACACCCTCTGACATCACCGGAAGTGTGTCATAAGGCTACACCCTCTGACATCACCGGAAGTGTGTCAGAAGGCCACACTCACCACTCAGGCTCCACCCCAGTCCAACACACTGTGTCACACATCAGCCAAAAATACCAGGGGCCCTCCTGAGATCCACCAGCAGGGCCTGAAATTCAGAAGCCCTCCCACTCTTGCCCCCCCAAGCACCAAGAACGGAGAGCATCACTGCGCCAGAAATAAGAACATAAGAGAAGCCATGCTGGATCAGGCAGGTGGCCCATCCAGTCCAACACACTGTGTCACACATTGGCCAAAAATACCAGGGGCCCTCCAGAGGTCCACCAACGAGTGGGGGCTTCATTCAAGCTGCTCTGAGCGGCCAGAACGATGGAGGGGGAGGGGTTGGGGTTGATACACATACATCTTGCATGTACATCTGTGTATAAGAAAGAGAGAATTCATGTTCACTTTACCAATGAAACCACAAACCAGTACTGAATAAATGTGGGATCTCATCTCAGTCACATGTTTGGGAGTGCATGCATTGAATGTAACATGAGAATTACCCACCTTCCTAAGTGTGCTGGAATCAGTTGGCTTAAGGGTATAATTGTGCTTAGGCTGGCTCAGTTAAACTTGGATGATTGGACAATAAGGTATAGATATTCCATTATTTGCATGGATTTAGCTGAAGAAAACTGAAACCAAGGGAAAATGAGATAATTAAATCTGTAATTAAGTTATAGGTAAATTTTAGCCCTGATATTACCTCTACTGGCATCAGTGAGTTTACTCTGCTTTTAAAGAAATATGATTTGTGGGTGGTTTTCCTATGCGGCATTAATCAGATTTATGAGCTTTTATAGAGAAAACAAGAAGGCTAATTACATACAATTAGATGAAAGGAAAAAAACGGGAGCCACTTACCTCCTTTTGCCCCAGTATTTACAAATCAGAAACCTGATTGTAAGAGTCCAAAGAAGTTGTGGTATAAGAAGTTTGATGGAATTTGTACAGTTAGTACGTTCATGGACGTATTTGAAAGTATTTGTCTTTAAAACAGGACTTTTCTCCACATGGAATGTAGCAAGCCCTGGCGTTGGGGGTGGGGGCACTTCCACACAATGGTGTGCTGTTCCAAGTATGGCTCAGAGGATCCTGGGGCTTTCACTTTTGAGCCAGAGCAAAGGAGACTGAAAGGAGAAAGTGTGGGGTGCTGCAGGTGGAGTGTCAATATAGGGACATGATGGAATTAAGCTCCATATTATCACACACACACACACAGAGTTCTTCGATGTGCTATTTTTCTGTGTTCACAGCTGAACCATGGTGTCTGTTTAACTGTGGCTCAGCTATGAAAAGGAAAGAGGGGGAGTTCGTGTCAACAGGGGGAGAGCAGTGTGACTGAGTGGTGGGAATGGAAGCGGCGGCTCTTGCCTGAAAAACACCCCTCCGGGGGTTGGAGTGGGGTGGGGGGGTGGCGGGAGGGCGGCGGGAGGGCGGGATCCAGGAGTCGCTGGCAGAGATAGGCGGTCGCGCCGGCATCGCCGCCAGCAGCAGCAGAAGCACTCCGGTGTGTGGACGCGCCTCCCTGCTCCCCCCGCAGAGCTCCGCTTCCGCAGACAGCAAGAGCCGCCGCTGGGAAGGCAGCTTCCCTTCGTTGTCCATAGCGAGCCGGAGGATCAGTTGCACGCTTGTGCGGCTCCTCCTGTGGCTTTAATTATTTTCTACCCACGAAAGAAGCGCGGGGGGGGAATCTCATGAGGGTCAAACACCAATTTGGGGACGTGTCTGTCTCCCGGCTGTGCCTCCCCACCGGCCTTTTCCCAGTCAGCACTCACCAACGCAGCCGCGGACCAGAATCTGCTCGGAGCAACGGCAGCGTTCGGGTGTTTTATTATTTTTTTTCTCCCTTTTTGCAAGGAGGGCACCTTGGCTTGACACGGCACCGAGCCAATCAGAGGGAGGCGCCTGAAGGGACTTGTGACGGGGGAGGCAGGCTTTTCTCTCCCCACCCCTGCCAGCGCTGTGCAGGGGGAGAAGTGGGAGGGAGGCTGGGCAGGCGGAGCGGGGTGGGCTGCTGCTGGTGAGGGGCGGCCGGTGTGTGTGTGTGGGGTCTGGGTCTGCTCATCCCCGGCCCTCCCCCCTCCTCCGCGGCCTTTCCTGCAGCCTGAACCCGCCCCGGGGAGATGGGACTGGAGGCACACTGCCTGTCCCCCAGTGGCCTGGGACCCTCTCCCCTGCCCCGGCCACGCGGTCCTCTGATGGGGAGACAAGCTCTGGCAGGTCTGGCACCTGAGGCACTGCCGGGCAGGAAGGGGGCGGTCCGTCCGCAGCCCAGCCAGGGACGGGGGTGGGTGGGAGGAGCCCCTTCTCCATGCAGCGCTTTCCTCCTATCCCCGCCTCCGCTGCCTTTCTTGGCCTCTCCTGCCTGCCGGTTGTGGCAGCGGCCTGCGGGCGGGAATAGCCCCTTCTCCAGCGTGGCGGTTTCCTCCTCTGCTCGAAGCAGAGGGCGGTCTGAAGGGGGCGGGGCTTCACCATGTGACTGCCTCCCTGAGCGTCTCTCCCAGAGCGACGGACTGGGGAGCTCCGGTAGGATGAGACCCCTGCTCACATCCAAATACTTGCCAGGATCGGCCCTGCTTAGCTTCCAAGATCTGATATCAGGCTTGCCTGGGCTATCCAGGTCAGGGCAGAAGTAGTCCATAACTTTCGTAGGACTACTGACACTTTAACACACACCCCACAACAGACGTAAATTGTACAACTTTTTCCTTCTGCAAAATGCATTCCTTTATTCTTGTAATCCTCCCCTCCAATCTCCTGGTTCTGTAAACCACTACTAATCTATGGAAATCCACTAGTCTTAATCTGAGTTCTAGAATCACTTTTCTTTATTTTTGTTGTTTGAAGGGCCACCCATTCTAGCAACTTGGTCAGTAGCTCTGAAAATTCCAAATGTTCACAGCTCTCAGTGGAAACATCTCTCAAGAATTTCCAAAACAGATACCTGATGCTCATATGATGGCAACAGTTTTCAGTGATGTTGAAGCTGTTTCCTGCCTTTTGTCTTCACAGGTTATCACATTAACTAGTCTAGACCCATATTGTCCTGTACCAGTCTGAAGCAACAGAAAGATCTTCTGGGTGAAATATACTATTCTGTCCTATGACATTACTATTCAACTGGGAAGTGCCAAGATGATCCTCAAGAAAGATCATCGTTCCTTTAGCTACAAGATCTAACACTACTGAATGAAAACTTGGGAAGCTTAAATGATCTTGATAGAAAGCACCATCTGTTTGACCATTTACTGAAGAGACAAGAAGCTCTCTCCATTCACTGGTGCCAGCCATCTACTCCTACTCTTCTGGATCCCAAAGAGTACATAAAAGGTTTCAGAAGCAGGGAGGGATGTTACCAAACACCACTACTGAAGCAGGAGGAGGCAAAGAAAACACCACTTTTTCGGGGACGTTGGAAAATACCCGTCCCTTGCACTGAAATCTCACTTTATTTACAATCATTCTTGAAAAGAGCTCTGAAGGTTAGTAAACAAATCTAAATTTAGCAGTGGCCGATAACAAAGGAAAATCTAAGTATCTGCCTACGTGACTTGCATAGGCTTCATGGGATCAGGATTGCTGCCGGCATTGAATGCAGCTTGTGCAAAAATTTTAGCAGCTGCCCCGTTTCCAGGTTTCTCACTCTTCTTCCGATATGTGAGGAGCTAACACAAGATAAAAGAGGCGAATGCCCACTGTTGGGTGAAAATGGAGAAACTCTGACAGAGGACAGAGAGAAAGAAAGCAGGAAACCAGTTTGGTTTAGTGGTTAAGTGCATGGACTCTAATCTGGGAGAACTGGGTTTGATTCCCCACCCCTCCACTTGCAGCTGCTGGATAACCTTGGACAACCCATTTATTTATTTATTTATTTATCTAACGCCACCCTCTGTCCCCGACCTTGGAGAAAGGAAACAAGCCATTGCAAGGCAAGCCCTTGAATTCCAGTTCTGTCAGCACTGTTCTCTCAAGAAGCCCATTGTTCTGTTAGAGCTGTTCTCTCAAGGACAGTTTTCTCAGAGCTCTTTCAGCCCCACCTACCTCACAGGGTGTTTGTTGTGGGGAGGGGAGGGGAGGGGAAAGGAAAGGAATTTGTAAGACGTTATCTGAGACTCCGAG